AAATAAAATTCCTCTGTCAAACAAAAAATGCATTTAATATTTTGACTTTTATGCCAAAGTTATCTTTTAAATAGATGTTGTACATTTACACCTCCACAACAGGAGGGCTTGTTTTCGGCCATCTGCGTGATCTTTCAAGTATTATGAATTGCTAAAAGAAAAAATGGTGCTCGATTTCTGAGTCCCATGTCTTTCGTTGTGAAGTTGAGCATGTTTTGTAGGTGTAATGATGATTTTAATGTATTTTTTCTTTGGCTAGCTAATTTATACCATTTGACAACTCTAGGGTTGTTCATCTCTCTTTTTTTTTTTTCTTTCTTGGTAACGGGGATCGAACTTGGGTCCTTGTGCTGTTCATCTCTTTTTTAATAGCAGTTTGTACAAGCTTTTCTTTTGTTAAAAATTTTACTTTTTGCTATGTTATAAATATTTGTCCTGTTAAAATTATCTTTTGATATTAAAGGTCTTTTGTGGGTAGGTAAGTTTACTTATTTGTGTCATCAATTTTATTGTTCCTTTTATAAAATAGCTTTTGAGTTTTTTTCATCCTTTCAGAGGTCTTCTCTACTCCAGGATCATAAAATAAAATATTATTTTCTTGCAAGTTATCCTGTTTTACATTGAAAACACTGATTGATTTTGATTTTATTTTTTGTATAAAAGTAAGATAGAAATCTAATTTTATTTTTTATAAATAGTTAGACTAGTAGTATCCAGTGGAACTATAAGCCAAACCACATATGTAATTTTCTATTAACCATATTTTTTAACGTACTAAAAAGAGACAGGTAATTATAAAAACATATATTATTTAATCCATTCTATCCAAAATATCATTTCATCATGTAATTGATATAAAAATTATTAATGAGTTACTTTACTTTTTTTCCTATAAGCCTTTAAAATCTAGTGCATGCTTTGGACTGGCTGCATTTCAAGTGCACAATAACTGCACATAACTAATGGCTATGTACTGGAGAGCTCTGAGTTAGACAATTACTCCAGTAACATTTATCAAGGGTTTCCCTCCATTGATTTGAAATGCCACCTCTGTCACTGGCTAAATTATTTGTGTGTGTGTGTGTGTGTGTGTGTGTGTGTGTGTGTAGTCCTATTTCTGGTCTCTATTCTTTTTCATTGAATTGTCTCTCCTTTCCCACACCAATAATGGGTTATTTTAGTTATGATAGCTTTAAGCTATTTTTAGTGCATTATAGAACAGTTCCTCCCTATAATTTTTTTTTGTTTAAAGTTTCCATGGATCTTCCAGTTAAATTCTTTCTCAATATTGGATATTATCTAATATCATACTGTAGATACTATATTATAGATATTATCTAAACTATACTATCTACAAATACTATATTTTAGGAAATGATGCTATAGTATGGACACTAATATTTAATTTTAAATAGGCACTAATATTTAATAATGTATCATTTCAAATAGCAAACAAATGATCTTGTTGGTATTGGTGGGGATCACAATGGATTTAGGGTTCAGTTGATTCTAAGGGCCCTTCCAAATTTCTGTGGCTCCACTTTGCTACACAGAGAAGAGAAGCTGGAGCTGGCTATGGTCACATCCTGTGTGTGTTAGTCAGCTTTCCATCACTGGGACAAAATACCTGAGATAAACAACTTAAAAGGATGAAAGGTTTATTTTGGTTCACAGTTTCAGAGGTTTCAGTCCATGGTTGGCTGGCTCCATTGCTTTTGAGTCTTACAGAACATCATGATGGGAGCATGTGATGGAGCAAAGCTACTCACCTCATACCAGCCGGAAACAGATTCCAAACCCCCAGTAGCTTCCTTTCTCCATCCCTAAAGTTCCCATCCCTAAAGTTTCCACCACTTCCCAGTAGTACCATCAAGCCTTTAATGCATATGTCTTGGGGGGACATTTAAAATCCAAACCATAATACCATGTGACTAGTGAAGTGAGCTCCTTTGAGCTGTGTATGGCACACCTGTCTCATCAACTGTGTGACCTTGCAGGTAGGGAGTCCTATGTGCATGCTGCAAGATGTGTGTTTAGGAAATAATCAGGGTGAGAGTTTAGAAAGTCTAATAATAGAATTGCTGCAAAGGGGAATTCTGGTTGCTCCATGATTCTCTTTTCTTGATAGAAGAAAAAGAGGAGAAGTTGGGTAGAGAAGAAAAGAATGAAAGGCTAAGGTGGAAGGAGTGGGTGAAAAAGGAGGGAGAAAAAGCAAGGAAAGGGAGGATGAAGAAAGGATAGAAGGAGAGAAAAGGGGTAGGAAGGGAGATAGAGGGTCAATAGGACAGGGAGTCTGGGAAAGACTAGGCTACAAGAGGGTGACTCCAGGAAGGAAAGGAAAGGGGGGGGAGAGAGAGAGAGAGAGAGAGAGAGAGAGAGAGAGAGAGAGAGAGAGAGAGAGAGAGAGAGAATGTGAACCAGGCAATATGAATATGAAGACTCAAGAGGGCCAGCAGGAGAGATTGGGAAAGCCTGGTGCTCCCTGTAGCTCTTGCACTGGTACCTCCTGTCAAAGCAAGCTCATTGCCATGGGGCTCAGTGTCTCTAAAGAATAGGAAGCTGGCTGGCTAAGACATCCCCGGGGACAAGATTAGTGCTACAGTAGACAGCACTGAGCACAGGCTTGATTGTTAGACTCCACTGTGTTTGGTGAGTTGGGCTAGGAGCCCAGAGCAAATGCTAGCGATCCCCAACTTTTCACAATGCCTGTGACTGTGGTACAGAGATTCTTCTTTACCCTTGAGACTGGTTGGCTGGGAGGGAGAGAAACAAGGATAAGGGATAAATGAAGTAGTTCCACTGAGAAGTAAGAGTGTAAGGGCTCATGGAAGTGCTGAGTCCCTCAATGCCACTCTATGCCACTGTCTTGTTAGTTAAAGATGATGATAAGTCTCCAGGCTTCTTGCTTCCTTGGGAAGAGGGGAATGACATCACCTGCAGATAACTTTCTTGACCTTCAAGGTCACCTGTCCTCCTGGGAGCCTTACATTACCTGGGCAGGAGGGAAAGACGGGCAGGTTCCGTGCAGTTTGGACCCAGTGGTATGGCCCCTCTTGTTTAAGGCCACCCAGCAGGCCAGTGATAAGGCCAGAATCAGAAGCCTGGCTTCTCATAGTCCAGCTGACTGCCCTTGCCAGGTATTTTCTTGTTCCTTCTTGGTCTGGAGAAGCAGAAAAAGAAATCTCAGACACTGACCCAGAGCCACTGGATTTTCAAGGAGTTGTGGGGTCACACTGAACTGGAAACAAAAGGGGAAAAACTCACCTTCAGAAGATCTGCAGCCTGTCTCCTCAGTCTGCTTGCTCCTCATCACAATTGCGACAAAATGCTATTTTCCTTTCAACAGTGTGCACAGGTGCCAATCCAAATGAATATTATTCACACACTTCTGTCCAAACACTGTGAAGTCTTCAAAGGTTGATTAAACCTCTGACATTGTTGCTCTATTTCCCCTGCACGCACCACCAGGTGAAGAACTCCCTCCTATGACCTCACCCCTCCTATTTCCCTGTCCTTCTCCACACACCCCACCCTTCCCACACAGGCACCCCGGTGTCCCAGCACAGAAAGGAGAAAGGGCAGAGGGCTAGGCTTGGACTTGGATCTGCTTAGGACTCAGGAAATAGTATGGTGAGGGCACTTTGTGTGTGATGGGGGCTGGTGAGGGGGCACTTACAGGTGGGGAGAGTGACGCATTTGACTTTGATTACCCAGCAAAAATCCATTTCCTGCTAGTAATGACTGGCTGGTGCATATTGGAAATCACAGCCTCCCTGCTTCACTCTCCTCGTGTCATTAGTCCCCAGTGGAGCGATGTGTCATTGGAAATCACACCTGGTGAAATGAGGCATGATGTGCAGCTCCAAAGACCTGCCGTCCCTGGGCAGCTTGACAGTGGCAACTCAGGTACCCAGCCTTGGCCAGGCATCCCTTGATCACCCCAGAGATGTGGTAATGCTGGCTCATTCTCCAGGTTTCCATAATGTCATCACTCCCTTAATGTGGGGAGTGAACAAAATATTAAAGCAGTTTTGGTACCACCTGCAGAGCTTGTAGACTGCCCAGTGGCAAAAGGTATGCAATGACTAAATACATGCAAGGCAATGACAACTTGCAAGGTCTAGGGACTCCCAATGAACACAGAGTCTAAGTAGTTTTGCTTCATTTGCCTCAACATACATTTCCTTTCCTTTCATGAAACCATCCCAAGTTACCCTTGAAGAATCACATCACAGCCTCCACCCCACATGTGGGAGTGCACATGTGACCAAACCTGGGCCAACTGACATCTGACCACAGTGACTGATCCAAGGGTTAATGCAGAAAGCCCAGCACAGTGCTGGGACTACTGAGGGAAAGAGGCGCTCTTCCTACCCAGGGATTTGAGGCTGATCACAGGTAAGGTTAGGACCACAGTTGACTATCTTGCTCCTACAGGGGCAGTGACATCAGTGGCTAATAAGGATGGAAGAATGGATAACACACATATACAATCACCTGATTTGTAACAAATAATCCAGTACAGTTCCATAGGGGAGATGATTACTTTTTAATTGGATATTCATATTAGAAAAAATGAATCTTTACCTCTGGCTCACACCATTCACAAAAATTGCCACATGACAAATCATAATTCTAAACATGAAAGCTAAAACAATCAAGTTTCTAAAAGAAAACAATAGAGAATGTATATATATATATATATATAAAACTTTGGAATAGTCTGAATTTTCTTCAACAATATATATACAGGCATGCACGTATACGTGTCATAAAACTAACATGACACAAATGTCAAGTTGGACTTGATTAAATTAAGAACATCTATTCATAAAAAGACACTATGAGAGAAACAAACTATGGACTGAGACAAGAGAATTATAACTCATCTATTAGAAAAAGGACCATAATTTTTAAAATATGTAAGAAATTATACAAATCAATAAGCAAGAGACAGACACTCCAATTAAGAAATGCTAGTAGGAGTGTACAATAGATAACTGCTTTGGAAGCACCACTAAGACTAGGCATACATATACCTTGTTTAATGGTGTCTACTGCTGGGTATACATGTCCAAAAGAAATGGGTGCTTTTGTTCACCACAAGATAGGCATTTGGTTCATAACAAGCAAATTTAAGAATGGTCCATATGTTTGTCATAGTCACTTTCTCATTGCTGCGACACAGTACCTGATGCTTACAACTTAAAAGGAGAGAACTTTATTTTGGCTCACATTTCAGTGCATAGTAAGCTGGCTCCAAGGCAGGACAGCGTGACGGAGAGACATGGTAGAGGACAAGCTGTTCACCTCATAGTGGCCAGGAAGCAGAGAGAAGGGAGGAGCGGGGGGTGGGGGGTACACACTTCCAGGTCATACTCACAATGACTCCTCTTCTGATCAGGGCCCATCTCCTAACACTAAGTCAGCTGTAGTGTCCTCTCAATCCAACCACCTTCCACAAGCCTCACCTCAGAGTGCATGAGGCTTTGGGGGTGACAGTGGAATACTGCACAGCAGTGAGAAGCACAAAGTCCTGTCACACACAAAAAGGATACATTTTAAAGTCATGACCTTGACTGAGTAAGATCAATATGAGCACACAACTTTATGATCCCATTGATATGAAATCAGGACAGGAAAGACTAATTTATGGTGACAGAGGTCAGCATGGTGGCTTACCCTTAAGGGCTGTTGGACATGGTGGCCCTAAATGAGTATAGAAATTCTATATCGTGATCTGGCTGGTGATTTTATGCACTGAAATGTGCTCTTAATTTTTATTGTTATTAGTGCATATTTGCAGTACATAATGATTACATTCATCATGGCAAGTTGGTACATATACTTATACATATATATATTAATTCTTTTTACTTCCTCTTCTTCTCCCTCCTTTTCTCCCCCTTCCATCCATCTATTGGTCCCCTTCTTATTTGCAAAAGATCTCTCTCCCTGTTCCCCATTATCTGTCTTTTATTTTGTTCTTTATAAACTGCACATTTAAGATGTGTACATTTTATTGTATTAAGTTACACCAAAAACTTTTTTAAAAGATAATGAAGACAGGGAAGAGACTAATTCTTAAAAATATCATCTGGGTACCTGGATGCAGCCATGCCTGAAGATAAACACTCCTGGCTTGCTTAAGAGCAGATCAATTCCCTATAACCTCTCTCTCTCTCTCTCTCTCTCTCTCTCTCCCTCCCTCCCTCTGCTTCTCCCTCAGTTTTTGCTGGCTTGCTAATACAACTGTCCTCATAACTATGATCCTCCAATGTCTGGGTCTCCTCTTGACTGGCTGGAGTCACTGGGGGAAGTCCTACATTAAGTGGGGATTTAGGGAAAGCAAGTTCCTCAGTCTGTTTCTGATTGTACTGGCAATAGGCCATTTGATAGGAATCCTTGGGAACCCTATGTGTCTCAGTTTCCTCATTTGTAAAGTGGATCTGAAGATAGTGCCTTCCTCACATAGCAGATCAGATCTCCTCTTATAGAGTCTCAAATGTCTGCTAGTCTCCTTTCTGATCCTCATTTAATTCATGTTAATGATTGTGCCGGGATCAAGGGTAGTGTATGTTTTGCTCACTAACTTAGCTTGAGTGTCACAGTTCGCTGTAGGGTGTATAATGTCCTAGGAAATGTTTCCTTGTGGAACCTACGTAAACTGTTATGCATAGTCAGTGCATCAGTGGACCCCAAGGAAGAATATTTCAGGGACCTCCTTAAAAGAAATATTGCGACAACTAAAGGGAGCAATGTGCTGGATTCCATACTGTGAGTTATCTCAGAGCAACTGTGTGTGTGTGTGTGTGTGTGTGTGTGTGTCAAATGAGGAGAAACAAGGACAGGGCTCATGTGGGACTTGGGGTTCCTGGCCTGGCAAGCATTGTCAACTCAAGCAGGTTCCAGGTACCAGAGAAGGGCTTAAAAAGTTCCGAAGAGGATGTACTGAAGCATGCGGGTATGAACCCTTTCTGTCCAGGTCAAAGGTCAGGACTGTGCCTTCTGTATAGCATCTGTCATATGAGAAGTACTCAGTTCATATTTGTTTAAATAGACATGAATGAAAGGTTTCATGAAGGTTACATAACACATGTTAAGTGGGCAATGATGTGGAGTAGATTTATTATTATTTCTGAGATGCAGGAATCCTTCTGGCTCCCATGCCCCCCAGTGCAAAGGAGTTGGGTAATAGCATCTTGTGACCATGGCTGGAATGAGTCAGCTTCTCACAGGGTCAGGTTTGGGAACAGTCCCTTTTGTGGCCTTTTCATAGAGGGTAGATTTCCAAAGAGGAACAAAGGAGCTTGAAATCCAGGCCAGGGAGAAAAATACACTTTTGGGGTTATTTAGCCGCTTGTTAATTGTTCACCTCGTTAGCAACCCATCTGCAGCCTGATTCTAGCAAGGGGGCACTGATGGAGAGGGGTTGCCTGGCCAGGATCGGCTTCACAGACTCGTAATAAGGAGGAGCAATTACCGGAACTTCTAGAGCCAATTCCCGTTAGGAACGCGCCAGGCCGAGCTTTGTCCTACGGAGAAGAGGAAAAGGTCAGTGTGCTCCGTAGGAGGAGAAAAAAAGAGCCCTTCACAGCGAAAGAGCCTGCCTGAGGGAGGGAGACAAAGAAAAGGAGGGCTCTGTGGAGGTGAAAAACTAAAGAAAGAATGACATTTGGAAGCTCCTCCGCGTGAGGAAAGGAGAATAATGAAATAAAAATTACAAGGAAGAAGGAGCCAGCCAGCAGACCAGGAGAGAGGAGGGGAATAGCTGGAAGCAGCCTCGAAGGTGGCTTGTTGGGGCTTCCTGAGTGACCCAGCCTGTTACAAACCCTTGCAGCCTCAGTTTCTCCATGTGCAGCTGCCAAGATCTGATACCCCATGGGCCTCTCACCTGTGCTGGACGCAAGCATGAAAGGGAGGAAGCTTGCGGGGCAGGCTGGTTTCCATCAACCCCTCTGACCTGACCTGCTTCCCAAGCATTCCTGCACTTGTCCCAGCCTCTTGCACTGAGGTGGAGCCCAGTGAGGACGTTTGCTCAACGGGCTAAGAGCAGCTCAGGCATCATTTCAAGGCTGAGGCATAGAAAACCCAACAAATTGCCCTCCACTAGTCCTCCCCCAGCAGCACAAAGTCCGAAGCCTGGGTGCCTGAGTAACTGAGTATGCAGGTCTCCATCGACCAATGTGGGGTGTGTATCATGAATGGAAATATACTTTGTTGTTTGTAAGACAGAGATTTAGGCTTGCTGCTGCTTAGACAGAACCTAATCTGTCCTGAATAGAGCCAGAGGTGTGGGTCATTAGGAACCCTACCTGCAGGGGCTAATGGTGGCAGTGTACCTTGATGAGCCAAGGTCCAGTGCTAAGACACAAGACTGAAACAAGCATGGTCTCCATGGGCCCGGCAGTCCATGCAGCCACTGGGAGTCCTTCTGCTGCCTTGATATCTGTGTCTGCTTGCACTGAGATGAAAGGGTGTCTGTCTATCTCCTTGATCAGATGGAACTAAGGAACTGAAAGAAACAGCAATCTTTGTGAGATATCTGTGGATCATCCCTTGAGGCCCAAACCCCATGGGGACAGGGTGTGGGATCTTTCCCACCATGTGGTCTGCTCTGCCAGGTGCAAACGGCAAGGGTAAGTGAAACTCGAAAGCCAGCATCCTCCTTTCTTAAATGTTCCAGAACTTCACCGGCCTACAATTCCTCCCTGGGTGGATTGATTTCCTCTGCAGTTCTTGGCTCAGCTCACAAAGCCCAGGCACAAAATGAGGTTCCCATCTCCTCATTGTCCCCTTCCCTGGGAAGAAGCAAGACATTAGCAGCAAGAGACTCAGGCTTGATCCAGAAAGACACTGGCTTCAGGGTTTATGGGGGCAGGGTGGCACTTCTCTTCTGACCCTTCTTCTGACATTGGGTCACAAACCATTAGTCACTGTTTCTCACGGTCTGGGAATGGAGAAAGAGCAGGGATGGGTGTACATTTCTAAATGGAATCAGGAGCGCCAGGGCCCCAGTGGGCCAGGCAAGGATGTACAAGCCCAGTGTCTCTCTTTTCCCCTATGCTTCCTGCCAGTACTTCCAAATCACCTCCTTCTTGCTCCCTCTTCACTGTCCAGCCTGTTCCTAGGCCCTGAGCACTGTTCCAGGATTCTTTGCTTTTTTTTGCCTCACTCTCTTCCACTCTTATCACCTACAGCAGTGGGTATTCATTATTTAAACAACCCATGCCTCTGAAGTCTTATTTATCCAACATCTTTCCACAGCATATGTCAAAATTTACAGTAAGTGCATTCATCCCATAATAAACATTTGGCTTTGCTGGTCTACTGGCGGCAGGGCTAATTAGGGAAAGTGATTCCCTTGTTATCTGAAGGGAGGTCAGATACAGCAATTAGCATCCTCGAATGGCTTTCCTAATTGTGACTTGGAGGCTAGGCCTTTTGGTGCCAGGTGGGGAAGGGATGTTAGCAGGGAGGAAAGGGGAGACTTCCCCAGCAAGTTCTGGCTAACTAGAGCTGTGCTATGAAAAACTCCTGGACTCCCAAGTCTCTGCATGCATTCTGAGCTACCTGCTCTTGACTCTTGCCTCCCAAGCAAGGCCCAGTCCTGAGAATGTTCTATCCACACTGTCCACCCACCCCCCTCTGTGAGTATTCAAGAGAGCATTTCCACTTGGAAGTCCTGCTACTGCTTTAGCCTCAAAAGCATCCAAAGCAAAAGGACACATCTAGACACCAGAGCTTTAGGGTTTAAAAGAAACTTAAAGGTCATCTGGCTGATCTCTTGCCCCCTTCCTTTGATTGTCTCCATGTCACTTCTACCAAGCAGTTGTTCTGCTTTCAGGGAGCACTCTCTGATCCTCTTCCCTGAGGAGGGAAGAAATGAGGGCTGTGGCCTGGGCTAGGCTTCTGTAGGAGCTAGGACTGGACAAGGGAATTGCTAGAGCTGATTTCTGGAGGCTACTTTGCCATCCTTGGGCATTGCAAACTTGGAGGCAAAGAGATCCAACAGGACAGGTGCAAGGGGAACATGTAGAAAACCAGGCCCAGATCTGAAGGAAAAGGTTGCAAGAGAGAGCAGAAAGGAGGCAAAAGGGCCAAGAGATAGAGGTCCCAAGACTCTCTGGTACAATAATTCACTAGAAGAGCTTGCAGAATACAACATTTTAGAACTCACAGTTACAGTTTATTACAACAAAAAGATACAGATGAAAATCAGCAATGAGAAAGGTGTGTATCCAGAGGCCAGGAGAGCTGCAGGCACAGGTTTTTGGATGTTCCCTCTCCATGGAGTTATGCAGATGGCACTTAACTCTTTCAGAGGCCGTGAGTGGCATAGAGCATTGGACCATAGAAGCTGTGGTGGCTAGTTCTAAATCCAGGATTTTTTTTCTTTTCTTTTTTGTCCCGGTTATTGAACTTGGGATCCTGAGCTTTCAAGGCAAGCAGTGGAACCACTGAGGTAAATCCCCAGCCCAGTGGTAGCTAGTTCTGATTGAAGTTGGTCATGTACACTATAGGTTATCCCTTGGGAGAGACCTTGCCTGCCCTGGAAAGGTATATGAAGAGTAGGGACATGAAGGTCTGCACCTGCCTGGAAGAAACCATCCATGGCTCCACCTCATTTTCTCTGGATGGGTCAGAGAAACATCAGCCTCATGTCAAGAAAAGGCCTTCCAGCAAGTTATCCATAGCTGATGGGCTGGTTTCCTGAGAGGAAGTCTGAAGGAAGAGGCTTTTTAACAGCAACAGTGGAAGAGGGAGGAGCTGAGAGCTTGAAGCTCATCATATGGCTCAGAAGATTGCTCCTTGAGAAGCAGTGAGGTGAAGTTCTGGAATTGGGTGAGCCTGGTTCTAAAGCTTGTCTCTACTGTAACCTCTTAGAGACTTTTTTCCCCTGTGAAATGAAGATGGTCAGTGTTCCTGTCACCCAGCTGCAGTGAGGTTTGCATGAGATGGACATAATATAAATTAAATAGTAGCCATCTTTATTGCCACCATAATCACCTGCTGATGACGAAGAGTTCGTCTGTAGATGCTCTTGGCCTCCATAAAGTTCCAAGATTGAAATGAAACCCCTCTCCTTTTTTATAGCTTTCTTGTTATACTGCTAAATACTTCTCCTTTCTGATTTTCCATTTCTGACAGTTGTATCACCTTCCGCCCCACTATCAATTATTCATCCTCACTTATTCGTTCACTTATTTATTAAATATATGTTTATTGATATTGGTATTGGGGATAGAAAGAAAAAATGCTCCTAACTCTCAAAGGACTATGCTTAAGGGAGATAGCAAACAACACATAAAATAAATAGTTACAATGTTTTGGCTGGCAAATGTACTGAGTATGTAGGGTGTAACAGAAGCAGTGATCTGTTTTATCTACTCCTTCACTTCCCAATGCACCTTCACGCCTGCATTTATTGCTGCCTGGAGATCACTTCCACATTCTCCCTTTCCTTTCTGTTCTTCGTGCTGTAGGTTGAAGTATTGTAAATAAGCTGCATCCAAGGCTGGAACTCACAATGACTCTGGTAATATCTGAGGGCTGTGTGCAGAGGATGCTAAGGCTGTGTCTGGGTTAGTGAGACAGGATAAGACTGTCCATTGGAAGAGAATTAGAAAGATGTGATAATTTGCTACTCACCCTTCTGGAAGCTGAACACACCCAAGGCTCAGGCAAGGTAGGTGTCTCTGCTCCATTCAGGCCTCTTCAGTGCAAGCCTCTCCATCTCAGGAACAGCCCAGCTCAAGCACAGTCCAGGACTCACCGTGGTCTTTCCTTTCCTGGAAAAATGCCCATTGCATCACTCACTGCCTCACATATTGTCTTTGGGTAGGAATTGCCCTTTCATATCTTTGTTATCTGGCTTGTTATCTCCTGGGCTAGTACTGGCCTGGGCTCAAGACTGACTCTTACTTGCCAGTGATCATAAAACCACCCATGTTGGAATGCCCTTTTGTGACCTCTAGTAAGACACTTGCCCTAATGTCTCTGAAGAGACGATGTGATGCTCACAAGTAGCACGCCTATTCTTTTCTCTACAGCTCTGCTGCTCTGACTTGACTCTGCATTGCAGCATCACCCCTCTGTGTCTTCCCTCCATGCAACCCAAGGCAAAATAAGTGGATCTAGGAGAGTTCCCAGCCTGGCTGCAGCCAGAGGGATTGGAGTGGAATTAAGTTGTGATTTTTCACTCTGTTAAAGCTGTGTTCAGAGAGATGATAGCTCAGAAAAGAGTTTGTCTGTGAGGAGGGAGGTTTGGGGGTCCCTGGCAGGGCAATGGGAACCTTGGGCCTCAAAAGGAACCATTTAATTTTGGCAGGATATGAAAACAAGACAAATTGGCAAAGAAGATCTGTGATCCAAAATACAAAATTGAAGAGGGAGCAAATTTATTTACCTCCCATGAAAATTCACTTGTATCAGTGCAGGAGAGGATGGTGACACCAGCATGAGCTCTGGGATCAGATAGTCAAATAATTGGACATTTACTGGTTGTTCAAATTTAATGCCTTAATTAATCTCCCCAAGACTCTAGTTCTTTACCTTTAAAATGAGCTCAAGTTGTATTTGCCTGACATGGTGGTTTTGGGGATGAAATTAAGTCTATATGTCTATATGTGGTTTACCAGGCTGCCCTTCACACAATTCCTAGAATGAAGTAAATTCTCATTAAATGTTAGCCTTGTGTTTATTTTGGAGGGCTGGTTGACAGCAAGAACATTTATTGTCCTGGAGTGTCCTTTTTCTTGGGAGGACAGAGAAGGAAATGAGCAACATAGGAAGCACCATGGCTAATTGTGGGCTAGCTCTCCAAGTAGAAATAGGGTAGCATTAAAAGCTAGGAGATGAGTACAGCTGAAAGCCTTGTGGTATGGTTTGAATATCTTCCCTAAAAGTTCATATGCTAGGAGCTTAATCCCCAAAATTGTATGCTAATAGTGTATGAGGGTGGGGCCTTTGGGAAGTATTTAGGATTAGAGTCATAAGGGTGGCATTAGTGGCTTTATAAGAAGAGAGACTTGGGCTAGCATCCTTGCTTTGTCTGCCTTGAGGTGCCCTCTGCTATGTTATGATGTCACAAGAAGGCTCTCGGCAGATGCAAGGGCAGATGCTAGAACCATGCTCTTGAAGTTTCCAGCCTCCAGAAACATGAGCCAAATAAACTTTTATTCTTTGTAGATTATCCAGTCTCTTGTGATAATAGAAAATGAACTGTGACACCGTGTGTTGCAGATTTCCCAACCCAAGTTCTGTAAGAGAAGATTTCTGTCTTCTGCCATTCTAGAAGAAATACCAGAGAGCAAAAGAGAGGAAACTTCAATGTAACCAACCTGTTGCCCCAATACCAGCCAGCACCTTAGTGACAAAATGTGGCACTTCAGTTAGAGGTCTCAGGATTAGCAGTGCCCTGTCTCAGCCATCTTCTCTCTCACTTGGTAGCTGCCTCTACTGAGGGATGTAGGGAACTCTCTGAGTGGACATAAATGCCCTTCTGTGATTACCTTCTAAAGAGGATTCAGAAGTTCTTGAGTGGCTTAACAAGCTGCCCTTAGAACTTGCTTCCTTCATCCTTATGGAAACTTTTCCTCCAAGAATCTTTGGGGACAGGGTGGAAGGACTCAAGGCCTCAGGTTTACCCACCATAGCTCAGTCTTTCTCTTTTGCAATAATGATATTCTTATGTCTCCACTGTGAGGTGACAAGGACATTACATCTTTTCTCCTTTCACTTCTTCTTTCCCCCACTCCACGGTAATCTCCCTTTATTGAGAACTTACTACATACTATACACTAATACCATATCTCTTATAATTCTTGAATATTCTTGTGAGGAAGGTGATCTTATCAATCACTTTTTACATATGACAAAACCGAACAATAGAGAAGGTAAATAAATTTCCCAATGTCATCTAGCTAAAAATCAGCAAAGTCAAGGTTCATATTCAACTCTGTTAATGCCAAGACATATCTTCTTTACCTTAAGACAAGCAGCTCTCACAGGGTTGAGAAAAGGTGCACATATGGGCGTTTGACTTGTAATTTGAACTAGCTACTTTCTTCATAATACCCTTTACTCAAAGAAATGGCTGGCAGACAAATTATGACTGTCCAGTCTTGGGTATTTGGAAAACATTTTTTTTTTTTTTTGCAGATGAAGACTGAGACTGGAAAACAATTGATTGCATTACTTGCCATTGATAAGATTCACATTCTCAAGCATGCTAGCATTGGGAAATATTTTTACACATTCTGTATCAGTCATAGTTTAGTCAGGAGAAAGAAACCACCCAGCAATTTGAATAGGAAAGGTTTTGTCATTTAAAGAATGATAGATCTTTCTCAAATGGCAAGGGGATCAAGAGATGGATGGAAAGGAGAGAGAGGGGAGGGAAAGGGGATGAAAAGAATTAAGATGTGTTACCTACATGCACCAGCTCCACACAAAGAATGTAAATATTATGTATAGTAAACATGTACTAATTAAAAGCATTTTAAAAGAATGAACTATTTTTTCTGCTTAAATTCTTTTATTGGAAAGAAGAATGAACTTTTTATGAGTAAAATAGAATAAAGAAAACCCTAAGACTAAGGGAGAGTACTCAAAGCAGAAAGGCACTTGGGAGGGAGACCCTCCTTAAGGGGGGAATCACATTTTATTACAGTAGATATCACTGCAGTTCACTGCATGTAGAAGTTGCCTTGGGCCAGAGTCCAGACAGTCAGTGGGCCAAGACTGGCATTCACAAAACTGCTCATGCAGTGTCAACAGAGCTGCCAGAAGCTGTTGTGGAAGAATGTTGGAAATTTTGGAAAGCCATCTGTGGTACCCACAGAGCTTCCCCACAACAAACTCTTCTATGTGGTTCTGAGAGCTGTCCCCAAGGAGGTGCTGCAGTATGGGTGGAACTTCTTGGGGGGCCCCTTTCTGGGCTACCAATGGGAGCAAATAATGGTGAGATTTCAGAACCAGTATGAATGCATCAGTCAGTGTCCCATGTGCTGCTGGTTGTCATACACTAGAGGAACAAGGGGAGATCACTGGAATCAGGAAGAGAAGTATTTTCCTCCTCCAGTATATTTGCAGTGCTGTCTACTAACAAAACTTCCACCTGACAAGGGAGAAGTGTTCCAGGATCACAAGCAAGAATGAAAGTAGACATGGAGTTGAACAGGAATCATCTGATAACTAGCATAGTCCATCCCTTTGCTTACTCAGAATCCGCACATACTTGAACTTCTACGCAACACTGAAACAACTCTGTTTCCACCTAATAAGGTATAGCTATGTTTGAACAAGTGAAGCTCTTATTTTTTTTTCCTAAACAATGAGATGTACTCATTAAAGTGGGGATGCATTTATGGCTATATTAACATCACCTCAAATTTAGCCATAGCACCACTCACTAATTTCTTAATACTAAATTATAAAGTTAATCTCCAACAGCTTGTATATAATATGATAATGATGGCTCATCCCCAGCAGCCTAACAACTCCCCTTATGTGCCTTCTCTTGGCATCCCAAGGGGAGGTTTCCTAGGGGGCTCCCCTGCATCATGTAGCACTTCTCTATAGGTAGCACCCCAGAAGACAGTTTCCTGGTGAGTTCCATAGGTTTCCCAGCTGGCTTACCAATATGTTCAGCAGCACCCCTGAAGATGACTTCCCTGAAACTCTCATTAGCATCTCTGCAGGGATTTCTATTTGCCAGCCATAGCTCATTGGCTATGGTCCAGCTTTGGTCCAGCACTACCCAGACACTTCTCTGCCTTTAAATGGCCTGCAACCACACCTTCTCCAATGAGGTCTGAATCCTAGTGGCACTTCTAGTGGGAACTTCCTAGAAGTTAATTTCTTTTCTGATGAGATCAGAGGTGATATTAACAAATGTGATTTTCCAATATTATAAAATGAAATGTGTCAACATTTGCAAGAAGTACATAACTCAGTGAACCAATATTTCCAAATGATCAATTCATGATGTGAAATTTCATTTAAAAAGGAAGATTGATCAATGAATTTTAATGTAAGGGCATACAAATTGTTTTTTATTTCTTGCTGCAACTAACATTTAAGAAGCTGCCATTTGTTGAGTCTTCATGTAATTGCTATGCACAGCTATAATTATTGGAGGGATATTAAGACACTCCTCCCTTTTCCAAGAATATATCTGCATGAGGCCATATTTTTTTCAGATACCTCAACAAAACAACATGTCACAACAGAATGTAGCTACAAGCAACTATAAGAATCCAGCTGTTTTCTATTAAAGCAGAAATTAAAGAGATTTGTGAAAATGTAAAGCAAGACCACTGTTCTAATTTTGGGTGTTTTGGAAATTTTTTTAAAACCATATTTCTTTTAGCATCATGTAGTGGATTTGTTATTATTATATTTAAATAAATTAATTAATATTTCAAAATTCTTTTTAAATTTCTAGTACAGTAAATATAGATAGATAAAACCTACATAAGCACAAGCTATTTGGGGCCTCAATAATTTTAATATTGTGAGGAGGTCCTGAGACCACAAATATTGGGAGCTTGCTGTTCTAGCTAGACTAGAGTAATTTTCCTTTCAAATGTTAGGCCCATAACTTTGCAAGTGAATAGCAGGTAAGGTCTGCGACACATTAGTCATGAAGATACCTTTGTGTTAGGAATTTAAATATTCATAGACATTTATATTTGGATGCCTAGAGAAACTTTAGAAAGACTCTGGTTTGCCTCCCTGGAATTTTGTTTCTATTACTGCTGTTATATACCTGAGCCTTTACTCAACTACTCAACCTGAGCACTGGTGATGGAGAAGTCCCTGTTGTTTTGAAGAAGCCTGATGAGACAGAGAGAGAGAGAGAGAGAGAGAGAGAGAGAGAGAGAGAGAGAGAGAGAGGACCTTGTAAGAAAATGCTTCAATCAGACCAGAGAGACATTCTAATGCCACCTGATCAAGGCAAGCTGCTGCTGCTCTGGTTAATATTTCTTTCCCTTGTCCCTCTGGCCTTCCCATTATGGAACAAAGCCTGCTAATGATGATTTGCACTCCCTTCTGCCTTAAAATGTGTTGTTTCACCTTCCTCAATTGAATGTAGTACC